ATTCAGTGGAACATTGAACCACTTTTGTCCCCGAACTCTTGAGTGCAGCGTATCAGTGAACCAAGAGGTATATAAGACCGAGTTAGAAAACAGAGAGATGCACTTTCATAGAAAGGAGTTTATTAGAAAGCTTAAACCGAATTATCTACTAATTTAATTTTACTGCAGCAAAGCATATGACAAATGTTCAAATAACTTTCACAAAGTGAAAAAAATTAGATAGTGACTGAAATGTATTCCGAACTGAACCAATTACCGAGTGGAAATGTTTCTTTCTGATAGTTTGACAATAATGTGCTTGATCGGAACTGTAACGACAAAAAACTGACTGGTTGTGGTGTGAACGCAGATTGTAACGACAGAAGACAAGGGCCAGGCGACAGATCCTTTATTGAGAAAAACAAGAGATATTTATAGATTTTTATGTAAATTATTATTAGCGTTGTTAGCGGAGAAGCAACGTTTTCTGATTGATTGTTTTCTTGCTGAAGTTTATTCTGTACTGCTTGTGACCGTTGCTTACAAAGTTATCCAAATATCTGTGAATCGTGTGAAATTGATACTCTCAACTTTTCCGTTGGAATATATGTGTAAAACTTGGGCACTGTGGTAGTAAGCAATTCCGTATTACTTTGTTAATTAGATATATCAAACAGTTCATGAAACAGTATTATTTACTGGGTGACGTTTCGAACAAAACTTATTGTTCATAATCATTTCATCAATTATAATCACACGATTTCGAAACTTGAGTTCTATAGTTTTCCTTGTCCTCTCCTATTTGTCATAGGGGTAGTACAATTTTCCAGATATGTGAGACAGGTGTCGAATCATTACTATTACACGTATTTGCAGTTGATCCAATAAACAAGGCTTCCGTCATCAATCTCTCCCTCCACCCTGTGACATTAGATTCTAAAACTATCATCCTATTGTATGGTTGCGTTTAACTGCTATAGCTGAACTATTCTCTAGACTTCTTATCTTATTCGGGTCAACTAATCTACATTTTGCTAGGTTTTTATGCTCGGCTAGTCTGAATGCCGCTGTTCTACTACTTTGACCTGACAATCATTCCATTAGGGTATTAGACAAACTAAATTGTTTTGTTTTAAAGGCTCCACAGGATCCACCATTTAACCGACAAAGCTTGTTTCTAATTGAGTTTGTGGGTTTCAATGGCGCTTTTATCCCCGCCTTGTTAAGAATTCTGCGTAAGGTTTCCGAGGTCCCTTCCTTGCATGGAATTACTACTGATGATTTAGATTCCTTATTGTTGGTGTTATCTTGCGCATGTTTGACAGGCATATCGTCATTAATATTACTATTATTATCACAATCATTACTATCATTAATTTTATTTTTACATTTCCCTACATACTTTTTGACTAATTTATCAGGATAATTAATAAGTTTTAAAGCCTCCCTTATATGTCTCACTTCCTGTCTTGGATTTTTCTTGGTACTACTCAGCTTTTCTGCTCTGTCACTTAAACATTTTACCAATCCTATTTTTACCGGCATAGGATGGAATGATTGGAAGTCCGAATATCTGTTTGAATGTGTGGGTTTCCTGTAAACACTAGTGTTTAACTTCCCATCTTCTTTCCTTTTTACGCTACAATCTAGCATTGGAAGTTCCCCTTTCTGACTTTCTAATTCATAAGTGAATTGAATTGCCTCCATCTTTGAGTCAAATCAAATAGTCTAATAACTGAACTAAATTTCCTATGTAAAACATTGCACAAAAAGTGCAATAGCTCATGGTTCCACACTTTACAAAAGCACAGACACATAACTAGAGGAACAAAGACACAAACTATGATGAACGGAGATGTCTAGAGGGAAAAGTAACTAAACGGAGAATAATGAGAATTCAATGGTTCTAAGGGTTTATTAAGTGAATAAATGTGAGTCAATAAGGATGATTCCGAGCCAACATTCCCCAAGCCTTCGTCTTTAGAATCTCGAGAACCCCAGCCGGATAGTCTACATCTCTCTATTTAAATCAGACCAACAGTCAAACTTCATGGATTGATATAATGTTTTGACTTGACCATCCTTAACTCATTTCCAAACCAATCGTCGAGGAAGATGATGACTAGACATGCTTAACTCATTCCAACATCATCTCGATAGATATAGAGCCCCACAACTTCTTCGACTAAACTGACCATCTTACCCTACGCCTAACTTCAATATTACACATCATATTATATCACTTAAAACGGTATATAAAACGCAAATACCTATGAACAAAAACGCCTAGCCTCTTCGTATCTTTCACTTTTAACAACCGTCTCACGAGCATAAAACGGGACAGAGCGAACTTCTATACGGATATCTTATTTGTTAAAGAGACAGCGTAACCTGACCAAAACTGCACAAGCCGTTTGTACTCATGATGGGATTTTCTCAACAGTCTGCCCATTAGGGCTGAAGTGGTTGAAACGCTCAAGCATTTCATTCACCTCTTATCTTTAAACCGGGGAGCGGTACAAGGCACTCCTTCAGTATCATCTCTCTTTTAACCATAAAACTGGATTAATAAAACTTATCGAAAACACTGAAGCCCGTCAATCGAAAGCCTATTGCATACAACTACACAAATGGTATTTAAAGCTTACATTACTCAAACAGCACTTGTATTTTCATTGGACACTAGATAGTAGTAACTAATGGTATGCACCTAGTCGCTTGTTTCGTGCAGAGTACATTCACTTAACTTTGAACTATGGCTCACCATCATAGTGCATTCTAAATTGTTATCAGGTAGTTGGAAGCAATTGTTAGGAAGACTTGGAACTAAGTTCCGTGCTTTTTGGCACTTACAAGTCAGCGAGGAGTATCTACAATCTTGAAGGAACTCCAGTCGTCTCTGAGATTCAAACGCGACTCACCCAGTGCTGCAGTCAGAGACGTTACCACTAAGCTATTCACACTCGTGATTGACCTCCTGGAGGACTCTATATTAGATACTTTGACTGGAAACTAGGTGGTAAGTAACTAGTGGCATGACATCTAGATCTTTGTTTGATGCAAACTGAATTCCAAACTTTTTTTTTAAATTTCTTTCACGTTCCCAGTGGAATATAGGGCGTCAAGCTGGAGGCTTGAAGTTTCTGTAGCAGTGGTGATTATTTTTACAGGATGGGGTTTCTAGCCTCATGCCCGCCCGACCTTCCCTCTTTACCAGTCTTACTACTGGATAAGTGAGGTAAAGGAGTGCATCGGCCGGTGATCGAACCCCAGACTATATGCATGGTCGGCGAGCATGCTAACCGCTGTGCCACCGATGCATACTAATATAGGGTGCAAATCCTGACCCAGGCAAACGCCTACGCCACATGGTTACACCCGTCTTCCAACCATTTAAGCACTAATATTTCCATGGAAATTAGTAATGATCCAGAGCTTTTGTGTGATTTTACATGGTTACTTGAATCTCAGTATACGGAGTGGAGTTCGAACCCCTAAACCCAGTGTGATTGATGGCTGGTTGGTTAAGCGACTAAACAAATAAGCCATAGGCTATCTTCACTGCTAAATTTCACCATACCTCCATCAAATAAGGATAATGATGAAAGCAATTCTCTTCCTTTTTTTAAACTAATTAAAATATATATATAATAAACATAAAATATCTGTACATCAGGTCTTAGCCTGTAAGTATGAGGTCTGTATACGGTCATCTTGTACATCATATTATTTCTTACTGTTAACGTAGACTTGTTGTTTTTTTCGCATACACACGGATTTTACTGATAGATAGATAGATAATATGACAATCTTTTTTTCAAAACAGGAGACACACATATTTTGAAATATTTCACAAAATAATCATAATAGTAATAAACAATGAATTCTTTAATTGTAATGGAAATAATATATCTGTATATACATATACACATATATACATACGTACATACATAATGCCAATTGACTGAGCAGATTGAAATAGTATAATAAAACAAGACACACAAACACACTCACTCACGCACACACACACACACACACACACGAAAAAGAAGAAACAGTTTTATACGGTGCATAGTATTTCAAGTGTACAATACAAAAAAAAATAATCCCCCATTATTCTTATGCAGATATAAGAGTATAGTGTTGAGAAAAAGACAGTTGATAGATAAACCGTAAATTTGAAAGTGGAAATACTAGATGCAACAACAACTAGCGAGACTCTTTTATTTTTTATTTGAGATAGATGCAGAAGTAATTTAGAAATATACACAAGTTGAAGAGTATTAGAGCAATAATGATAATAATAATTCACAAATAGCTTAGGAGAAAGGTTATACACAAAAACGAGAGATGCATCGCAACAGCAGAACTTGCATTACTGACTTCTTAACATAAATGATAGGTATTATCAAAGAAAGGAGAACTCGTTAACTAAGCGAAATACTCACAGTGTCAATAATAACCGTAGTAATAATACATATAATCTGTAAAAGTAGGTAGATTTGTTAAGTAATTCGTGTGTGTACACGAGAATAGGAGGGTGACAGAGATGCGGGAGTGGTGGAGATAAACAAATGGAATTCACTACGACAACTGTCAAAGTATTCTACACATATTTATTTACTTATATTGTGTATCGATTTTTTGAAAAAAAGAAGAAATAGGAAATTCAATACTTTCTCTACAAAATAATAAACAGAAAACGGAAAAAACACCATTATTATTCTTCTTATAACCACTACTGCTACTACTACTAATACCAGTACTAAATCTACTCTACTTCACAGTGTTGTCAATTAAAAAAAAACAGTTTAAAAGTGCAAACATCACCACCTCCCCCCCCCCCACACACACACGCTAAAAAAAGCATGTGATACTTGGTCACAGTTGGAATGGTAAGCTCCCGTCTATAATTGCATTTAGCATTGCATTTTTCCCCCCACACACACAGTAATGAAAGGATAATATACACTATATAAGATTTTTATACAAGCAACAATTCAACTATCGATTGTTATTCTTCATAGGATTACCAAACGTGGTTGATCCTGATCAAGACATTTAGAGTTCAGGGTTGAATAATGCACAGAGGAATTAGCATGTACAGGTAACTTGCTCATATCAACAAAAGACTGTGTAGACGTTAACATCTCGGAAGGAATAACAGTATGCGATGTGGTTTGACCATTACAATTACCATTATTATGAATAGTAGCCGGCGTATTGTTAAGATTTGTGTCTTTCACTCGACAGTCTAGGGATAAGGCAATCTGCTCACCGTGTTCAGCCCAGTTAACAGATAAATCAGCACTAGTTTCAAGGACAGATCTATCATAGTTTATCAGTGGATTAGTAGGGACAATTGTTGGCCATATAGGCTGAATAGATGAGGGATTCGGTTGATAAACTAACTGATTGACTGGTTTATTTCCATACGGAACTGTTCCAGATAGCAGTTGTACATTGGAATCTTTTGTCACTTCAAACGGTTTATTGTATACACTTGGAGGTGAGGTTAGAACAGGTTGCACACTTGACGAGGAGGTTACACAAATCGCTGGGGTCGACGAATTTGTTTGAGGAATTGTATCCAAGATATTAATTACAAGAGGTTTTTCTGCAGGCTCATTAGAATTCATCTTAGTGACTAGTGTTTGCGGCAATTCTTTAACGGGTTCCATATTCCTTGTGATAGAAGATTGACAGTAACTATTATTAGTTTCTTTTACAGGAGTTGAAGTTCTGCCTTTACCATTATCATAAGATATGTCTTGACATTGTTCACCTAGATGGGAATTATTAATAGCTTGACAGTCAAGTTCAGCGAATTCAGATTGAGATATTGTAAAGTTGTTTGCATTCTCAGCGGTGGAAGGTGCAGGCGTGGAGAATGCACCAAAAGGTACATTTTCACGCACTGGAGTTACTGGTTCAATAGCGTTATCAATTCTGGAACTAGTAGCCATCTTTTTTGGTGTATTCATTATTTCAGAACAATGATCTTCATTTGACGATATCTGAATATTTGGTTCTGTGGAATCTTTTTGTGGTGTTGTAGGAAACTGTCCATTACACTTTAGTCTAGTATTCAAATGTGAAGATAAAAGGCACTGACTACTGAATATAGGATATCGAGTGATACGCTTCAATTTATAATCATATACACCACGGCAGAAGAAAACACTCTGACTACTTGTCGTATTAAAACATTCGTCACACTCAGCAAGTGGATACTGAAAAAGAAAAAAAAATTACACCAAAATTAACAGATGATCGAATTGCATCAAAAACTTCGCATAAAAATTCTCCTGCATACACTTGAAGAGAGAAAAACACCGGAGCAAAGTAACATGAGTCCATTTCATACAACAAGTTATATCAACAGGAACCAGTCCTCTGACATCATAGTACATCAAAGTATTACAATATATTCTAGAATAGTAGTCAATAACAATATTAGTGTTTTTTTAAATAATATCGATTTGTAAAGTAAGATCACTGGAATTACAGTTAGTGAAAGATGCTTAAATAATAATAATATGATAGCGAATAGAATATCAACTAAAATTACGGAAATTTGTACAAAGATTGAGGATCAATCGAACCTAGGTGGCCAAGGTAAGAACAATGTCTGAACTAGCTTCTTAATGTGGATCCCAACGGCCTCAGCAATATTTAGTAAACGAACTCTTAGGGCGAAGTTAAGATTTGTCAGTATGCGGTAAATGACTTTGAAAGCCTCGTAAACATAAATCTTGTGTCCTGTATCCACAAGATGAGTGAGATAGAATAGCGCTACGAATATATTTTGTTCGTCCTTTACTTAACCACACAGGGTGATGTTCGGAAATCCGACGAGAAACACGCCTAGTTGTACAGCCTATGTAACTGGCTCCACAGTAGCAGTTAAATCGGTAGATTCACATGGAAGGGACGAAATTAGGCAGTTTGTCTTTTACTCCTGAACGCGATAGAGGAGTGGTTTTGAAGACACAGCGTAATTCGGCAGCAGGGAATGCTCTTTTTGCCGCATTTCTAAGGCATTGTGTAAGTATCTCGCTGATGTTGTCCCCGAGAAACTGAATTTGTAAGAATAAGGCCTCTTAGGAACTGTTGGTATCTTGGGTTGCTTTGATTTTAAATTCATATTCGTATCAATAAACCATTATGAATAACCGTTTCCACTCAGCAACCGTTTAATATTATTAAGTTCCTCATCAAGATATTCATCCGAGCAGATTGCTCTTGCTCTGTGAAACAAGCACTTAATCAAACTGCGTTTGCATTTTAAAAGCATGAAGCTGAAAAAATGAGTATACTGACCAGTTGATGTAGGTTTTCTCTACATACACTTCTTCTTATTGTGCTATCCTCTTTTCTGGTTGTAAGCATGCCTAGAAATGAAATACTAGAGTCTTTTTCTTTCTCAATAGTAAAATTTAAGGCAGGATGAACTTTGTTAATTTTATCCAGGATGTTCTTTGCTTCCTCTTCATTTTTCATAATCGAAAATGTATCATTCATGTACTGACAATAAAATTCAAGTTCCTCAATAACCTATTATATTTTTGTTATCATTATAATTTAAGCATCTTTAATGAACTGTAATTCCATTGATATTAAAATGTATATTTGCTTTTAGGATTAGGAACATCAAAAATTAACATCACTTAGGCAGTTTGATAAGTCATTGACTATTGCGTAATGACATACCAGGACATGGTGAGTAGAACTCAGCAGATAGAAAAACAAAAATAAAGTTTGGTGTGTAATAAATTTAGTGGAAAGACGATGATGTCATTTGTAACATAAAACACAGTGAGTAGAACTGAAAGGATCAAAATGAAAGTTAAACGAAAACCAAGGAGGCTAAACGATTTAACCGTATAAAGCAGAGTTATTTTTCGGTCAAATCGTTTAGCCTTCTAGGTTTTCGTTTAACTTTCATTTTGATCCTTTCAGTTCTACTCTCACTGTGTTTTATGTTACAAATGACATCATCGTCTTTCTACTAAATTTATTACACACTAAACTTTATTTTTGTTTTTCGATCTGCTGAGTTCTACTCACCATGTCCTGGTATGTTGTGACGCAAGTGTCAATGACTTATCGAACTGCCTAAGTGATGTTAATTTTCGATGTTCCTAATCCTAAAAGCAAATCTCTCTGTCTGTTTTCGACATAGAACTTTGCACAAATGTGCGGAAGTTCAAGTTGCCACATTCCGTGTAGTACGCGAAGCAAGAGAAGAAAGTACAAGAAAAGCATAATAGAAACAGTGAGCAGAGGTGTGAGACAAAGGAGTAATAAAGAATAACAAAACAGTTTCATTGGAGATCATAAGTCACAGGGAGTGGATGCATCTGCGCCACTGAGAACGATGAGTTTGAGCCATGTCACCAATTGTTTCCAACCATAGATTTTTACCGTCCCGAGGACCCCAGCCTGGAAGTCTACACCTTCCTAAAAGCAAATATATATTGTAATACTCCGATGTTGCCAGAGGACTGATTACTGTTGACAAACAGAAATATACGTTAAGACTGTATTACAATTTGTTGGATGAAATATTACAGGTTGCACGCAGATGAAGAGAAACGATGAAACAAAGTGGATTCATGCTATTCCTCTCCGATGTTTGTTCTTTCTCCTTTCAAATTGCATTAAGCATGCCCAGAAATAAAATTTTAAAGAGGGAAATAGAAATAATGCTGCATGTTTATTACTTCTCGAAGTACTTAACAAATGGGGGGCAACAATCTAGGCTAAGAGATTACACGAACGGGACACCAGTAACAGTTGCTTCATTCGCTAAATAGAGTAAAACAATTAGGATGGTCAGATGTTACTCGGTTAATAGTTCTAAAGTTTCAACAAAATGCAATATACAATTGGTGGACGGCGACTAGCAGTGGAATCCAGGATGCGCATTTCGTCCTATATGGGACTCGTCATCTGGATGTACCTGCATTTCTCAGTGAGTGATGATGTTCCCACTGGGGCTCGAACCCAGTACCCATAGTTTCGAACGCCAAAGCGTTATCCACTAGACTACGAGAGCTGACGAGTCCCAAATAGGACGAAATGCGCATCCTGGATTCCACTGCTAGTCACCATCCACCAATTGTATCCAACCTGAGACTGAGCACTTCGGTCCAATCAATCGACGGGAAAATCAAAAATCCAATTCAATAAAATGCAATATACTCGACTTCACTTGTATATTAATTATCCTTTAATAATTTTGAACGACGATTTTACACCCACTACATATTACATGATTTGATTACATTAACAAACTGCTGTGTATCTTTTAATCACAAATTTTTTGAAAAATGTTTAAAACCTTAAGTTTTATGAGTCTAATATTTACGCCTTAGAATGTCTACACAGTTAGAGTAATACGAAAGGTGAATTTATCACTTTTATATTACTCTTATCGTTTAACAAATAATGGAGATGGATTGGACATTGTCTGAGGAGACCGTCAAGTGACACTGCGCACCAGGCCAGCCCTCGAGTGGGTCGTCCTGGGGTGACATGGAAGCGACTGTGTGAGGAGGAGATCAGAGATTATGGGCAATCCTGGGCCGACCTAAGGAGGACAGCAGAAAATAGCACAAAGTGGAGATGTGTTGTTCAAGCTCTATGTTCCGCTCGGAACCCAAGGGGAAAACAATAATAATACTAATATTACTCCGGCAAACACTTTGTTTCATATAAACAGTAATCAATCAACTAGCTTTTTAGTGGAATATTTATTTCACAAATATTTCTGCTACAGGTCTCATTACCCTTTGAAATCAATACGTCATTTCATATTCCTAAATGGAAATTCCTCCTAGATGGGAATTTTCTCCTTCCACCTCTTGCATACAGAGTGGAACATGTTTTGGAGTTTCTATAACAGTGTTGTTTTATGAGGTGGGGGAGGGATTGTTAGCCTTATGCTCACCAAGCGATCTCTCCTATCCGAGCTAACTACTAGCCAGTAAACTAGGCGAGGACTACGAGTGTGTCAGTAGGGAAGTAAAACTGGACCTTCCACATGGCTAATTTATTTATTTATTTTGGTTGCAGCTTGATTTCACACAGTATTTTTGGTACAAGTATGAAATTTTCAGCATGTGATATCGATAGCCCGAATTTTGCAGGCCAACCATAGATATCAGGTGTGCGTCGGTAGGGGGTCGAACCCCGAACCATGTGCATGTTCGGAGACAGTCCTAACCGCTGTGCCACCGACACCACCAATTAGCATCCTAATATGAACATATTTCTTATATCTAATAGCATATATAAGCTATATATTAATCTACATCTCAATAAACGCTGGGACCTAAACTTCATATATGCTCCGAATTAATATATATGTGAATGCAGTAAACATTTTTATTGCACCGCAAGAAGTATGTCGTTCTCGAATACTTATATCAGCTAGAAATATGTTCTGTTATAACCTTAATTACTCTTCTTCCCTGACCAGTCTGACTAGCTGAGCTAGAATATTGATTCAGATAAATAAGTAAGCGTTTTTATGAGTTGTGTGGTCTTTGGATGTTAAAAAGTTAGCATTCAGCGTAATTTACTACAAGTGTTAGGTGTTTCACAGTGTCTTAGTTTTCAACAAAATAAAGTGAATGACTGTTTAAATTTTGTGCGAAGCAAAATAGGTTGAAGGAACACACGATCCATTGTCAAATAGACCAACATGTGAATGTTTTAGACATTTTAAGCGGACAGATTATAAAACAATAAAAGGAACTTTACTATTTCCTATCACTTCTACATGAAGGTTCCCTGCTGTAAACAGAACACTGCTAGTCTAATTATCTTTAGATTTCTTATCGGCTTTAAGGTTACTAGTACACCTCTGCAGTACGGAGTGCCGTTTGCATAGTTTATAGCATATGACTGATAATTTGGTGAATAAACATGTTGGCAATTTCACAGTTGAGATTTGAGTCAAAATCACTGTGAGTAAAGAATGTATACAAACAACAATAAGGAAAGTTTCAGTTAATCTGAACTTACCTTATCCATGCACAGGTTATCAACATTCACACTGTCACTAGTATGTAGACTACAGCTGACAGGTTGAGGTACGATAGAGTTAAGTGGCTTCTTCCGATAACCAGTCTAAAAATTATCATAATAAAACACAATTGAATAAAAATCAAATTTTATTTAAAGCAGTATCACCTATGACACAAATATTTGATTATCAGATGTCGTGTTGTAATGCTCAGACATCATGTGTTTATTTGATCTTATAAGTAGGATTAGGATTTGGGAGGAAAAGAGAATAATAATAATAATAATAATAATAATAGTGATAATAATGACGGTAATTACGACATATGGTAGAACTGATTTTCTGTGTTTCTTAGGTTAAAACCAATGCCACTTCTTATGTGAAAAATAAGTAAACTAAAGCATGACTGCCATTAGACTTCAACTTTGAACCGACCACCACCACAACAAAAACAACTGAATCTGGTGAATCACTCAGCATCAACAACAAAATTCGGATTTTCAGTACAAATAACGTCAAGTCAGTTCCACTATACGGATCAAAAACTTGGCGGGCGGGTCACAAAGAATATTTGCAACAGCCTGCTGCAGACCTTTATCAACAACTGTCTTCGCTGGATCTATACTGAAGATCAGATGGCCGGATCGGGAAGAATCACCAACAAGAAACTATGGGAACAAACAAAACAAGAACCAAGTGGAGATGGATTCGACACTCGCTGAGGAGGCCCACTGGATGAGATCGCGCGTCAGGCCATCACTCGAGTGGAACCCGAAAGGGAAGCGGCGAGTGGGACGTCAGTGCAAGGGTGACATGGAGGAGGAGATCGTGTGAAGAGGAGTTGAAACAGTATGGACTAACATGGATGCAGGTGGAAAATACATCAGAAGACAGAAGTAAGTGGAGAGGTGCAGTTGAAGCCCTATGTTCCACTAGGAACCCAAGGGAACAATAATAATAAATAATAATCTGATTTCTACGACGAGTTACGAAACACCAGCATATATCAAGTCGCTATATTTATAGTTTATCTTAAAGTGTTCATTTGTAAGTTGGCGGTCTATTTTTCTCTCAATTAACCTGAGAATTAGTGAATATTGCTTTTTTTATAGGAAGCTGGTTAGATAGTGTGGATAAGATAATAATAATTTTTCCTCCACGTTCCCAGTGGAACATAGGGCTTCAAGCCAGTGGCTTGAAGTGTTTATTTTTATAGGATGGGGTTGCTAGCCTCATGCCCAACCTTTCCTCTTTACCAGCATTATTTCTGGCTCAGTGAGGTAAAGGAGTGCGCCGGTCGGCGGTCGAACCCCGGACCATATGCATGGTCGGCAAACGTCCTAGCCGCTATACCACCGACGCCGTGTGGATAAGATATACTTATTATACCGATATTCAAAAAGGGAAACAAGTCCTGGTGTGATAATCATAGGGGGATCAGCCTAACGAACATAGTCTCTAAAATCCTAGGCTCAGTAATCATGCACAGACTAAGCAGAACTCGGGAGGAACAAACGAGGGAAAATCAAGCAGGCTTTAGACCAGATAGAGGGTGCATAGGTCATATCTTCACTCTTCGACAGATTCTAGAATAATTTTCGGCGTCCAACAATTGTCATATTTCTTGACTTGAAGGCGGCCTTCGACTCCGTGGATCGAAAGGTACTATGGCAATGTCTGACTGTGAAGGGAGTGCCAAGAAAATACATTGCACTAATCAAGGCACTCTATTCAAACTCACGTAGTCGTGTAAGGGCTTATGGGGAATTGTCATCTGAATTGATAACAACCAGTGGTGTCCGACAAGGATGTCCACTTTCCCCATTTCTGTTTAACTTCATCATAGATATGCTGATGGAAGTATCCTTAACTGAACGTAATGACTTAGGAATCGACTTGTTACCAGGGAATAGTCTTATGGACTTAGAATATGCAGATGACATAGTCCTGTTAGGGGAGGATGCTGAAAAAATGCAGAGTCTTCTGAACACCTTGAGCAGCAATCTTCGTATGTTTGGCATGCGATTCGCCCCTACAAAATGTAAGATGCTGCTACAGGACTGGACCACGTCAACCCCTAACTTAGTGATAGGGAGTGAAGTGATAGAACATGTTGACCACTTCACCTATTTGGGAAGTTGTATTAGCACCAACGGACTGATTGGCGATGAAATCTCAGCACGGATCCGAAAAGCTCGAGCTGCTTTCGCTGACTTACACCATCTCTGGCGTAGGCGTGACATCCGGTTATCAACCAAGGGACGTGTGTACTGCTCAGAAGTTCGCTCCGTCCTTCTCTATGGCTCTGAAACATGGCCAATACGCGTTGAAGACATGAAAAGGTTGACTGCTTTCGATCATAGATGTCTGCGATCTCTGTCTCACGTTAGGTGGTTTCACAAGGTAAGTAATGTTGACGTTAGGCGTAGAGTGTTGGGCAAAGAGGGAAAATCAATCGACGAGGCTATAAAGTTACATAGACTAAGATGGCTAGGTCACGTGCTGCGCATGCCTAACCACCGCCTCCCCCGACGGGCATTGCTAGCTGATATAGGTGCAGGTTGGAAAAGAGCCAGTGGTGGCCAAACAAAAACATGTCATCAATCCATGAAATCCTTGACAGTTAAACTGAGTCAGGTAGGGAGATGCAGACTCCCGGGTTGGGGCCCTCGGGACTCTAGGAATCAATGGCTGGAGACAATAGGTGACATGGCTCAAAATCGTTGTCAATGGCGCAGATGTATTCAGTCTCTGTAATCTTTCATATTCCTTTCTACCATTACCCATTCTGTTTCACTCTTCTACTTGTCAGACTGTATTGATTCTCTTCACTCATCTTCTTGTCTACCTCTGTGTGCTATTTGGAAGGTGGCAACTCGAACTGCTGCACTTCAGTGCCAAGTTCTATGTTGAATCCAGACAGACAGACAGGATAAGATATACTGAAGTTATTTAAATACGTATCATTTGGTTAACTAATTAATTTCTACCGTAATTAAAGGCCATATCCAATATAAGGATTGCTCTCAGCGTAGCTACCAAGTACTAAATAATAATATCCGAAAATAGTGGTCAAAGACAGAAATCCTTACAACAACCTTAGTTGAGATTGGAGGGACTTTAACGAAGGCATATAAGAACTGCTTGTTTTGCGTACTTAGGCTAACGAAAACAGAACACGAGGATGTCAACAAAGTTAGCAAACACAGTTTTCTGTTGTAATGCAAGGAGTATTCTATCTAGTCTGTTACCATCTCATCAAAACTTAAACAACTAACTGAATGCAATATACTTTTTACGATACAAGAAATAAGTTTATCCACTAATGAAAATTACTGCTAGACTAGAATTTTCGTCAGGAATTTTTATAATTTTTACGATAATTTGAAAGGTAAAGACAATTATAAGCATATTCTTTGGGTGTATTCTAACCAAACTAGTGGAGGATATTTGTGTAGAAGTCCATTGGTTTAGGTACTCAACTTCCAGGTAGTGAGTCACGGGTTAAAATGTCATTTTACCTACCGAGATTCAAACAGTCGGCCAGGACCAGTCTTTACACAATAGGCGTATTTCATTGTCAGGCGCACATAAGTGCAGACGACTGAAAAATAGGTTTAATACTTAGTTGTATGTGAAGGATAGCTTGAGACACTGTACACCATCCGGGGGTTGAAAATATTCAAGTAAAGCTAATTGATATCAATAGGTGGTTGTATATTGCGCTTGGCGATAATGTATAACGAGTAGATCACGCCTTTTGAACTAGTTAAGAGATTCAGAAACTGCAGCTCAGCGTTAGCAAAACAACCCACTTTATAAGGTAATGTGACAGGAAGGAATGTTACGACAAGGTAGTCATATAACTGACAGTGCTGGTAAACAACCGCCAAATATACTGCTGAGAAATTATTTAACCTCTGACCACGAGTTCCTCGAAATTATAATGATGTATGATGCTGTATCAGCTGTAGACTGAGTGGTTCTCGGGAAGCACAAACACGAGAGAGCCAGGCAGGCTTTAGACCAGGAAGAGGGTGTATTGATCATATCTTCACCCTCCGACAGATTCTAGAACATAGGCATTCCTACCGGCGTCCAACAGTCATTATATTTCTTGACCTAAAGGCAGCATTCGACTCTGTCGATCGGGAAGTTCTCTGGAGATGCTTGGCTGTAAAGGGAATTCCAAGAAAATATATTGCACTGATTAAGGCACTCTACTCGTACTCATACAGCCAGGTGAGGGCTTACGGCGAGCTGTCATCTGAACTGATGACGACCAGTGGTGTCCGTCAAGGATGCCAATTATCTCCTTTTCTATTCAACTTCATCATAGATGTGTTAATGGACTTAACCCTAAGTGACTTCAGCGACTCAGGGATTGACTTGCTACCAAGGAATAATCTCGTTGACTTGGAATATGCAGACGATAAAGTCCTTCTAGGCGAAGACGCTGACGAAATGCAGAGTCTTCTAAACACCTTGAGCCGCAATCTACGAATGTTTGGCATGCGATTCGCTCCCGCCAAATGCAAGATGATGTTACAGGACTGGACCACATCGACGCCTAGTTTAAAAATGGGAAGTGAAGTGGTAGAGCACGTTGACCGCTTCACCTATTTGGGAAGTACCATCAGCCCCAACGGGCTGATCTCTGACGAAATCTCAGCACGAATACAAGGGGCTCGTTTCGCATTTGTTAGTTTACGCCGACTCTGGCGTAGACGAGATGTTCGACTATCGACCAAAGGGCGGGTGTACTGCTCATCAGTTCGCTCCGTCCTCCTTTATGGTTGTGAGACCTGGTCACTGAGAGTGGAAGACATGAAAAGACTAGCTGTCTTTGATCATAGGTGCCTGCGTTCTATTTCCCGTGTAAAGTGGCATAATAAGGTGAGCAACATGGAGGTTAGGCGTAGAGTTCTAGGTAAACAGGGGAAATCAATCGACAAAGTCGTGAAATTACAAAGACTGAGATGGTTAGGATATGTGTTACGTATGCCAAGTCATCGCCTCCCTCGACGAGCAATGTTAGCGGATATAGGGTCAGGCTGGAAAAAAGCTAGCGGCGGTCAAACAAAAACTTGGCATCAGTCAATGAAATCCACAACAGTTAGTCTAAGCCACGTAGGAAGGTGTAGACTTCCAGGCTGGGGTCCTCGGGACGGTAAAAATCTATGGTTGGAAACAATTGGTGACATGGCTCAAACATCGTTCTCAGTGGCGCAGATGCATCCACTCCCTGTGACTTATGATCTCCAATGAAACTGTTTTGTTATTCTTTATTACTCCTTTGTCTCACACCTCTGCTCACTGTCTCTATTATGCTTTTCTTGTACTTTCTTCTCTTGCTTCGCGTGCTACACGGAATGTGGCGACTTGAACTTCCGCACATTTGTGCAAAGTTCTATGTCGAAAACAGACAGACAGACTGTATCAATTTGGCTGACAAGTGAATCGGTTAATAATAAATTTCTCTCCCGTGAACACTTAGACCTGGAAAAATAACCACCGATTAGATGAAAATGTAATGTGGAATTATGTAGCCTGAGATTTGGATTCAACCTTTGATAATTGGTTTATTTGTAATAAGGAAGGCTTCAGAATTAATTTTTGCTGACCAAGATAATTCCCCGAAGGTAATAGGGATCCTTCGGAAAGTGGTTATAATAATAACAATAATTTTTCCTCCACGTTCCCAGTGGAACATAAGGCTTCAAGCTAGTGGCTTGAAGTTTCTGTAGCAATGATTATTTTTACAGGATGGGGTCGCTAGCCTCATGCCCAACCTTTCCTCTTTACCAGCATTATTTCTGGCTTAGCGAGATAAAGGAGTGCTTCGTCGGTTGGGGATCGAACCCTGGACCATATGCATGGTCGGCAAGCGTCCTAATCGCTGTGCCACCGACGCACAGTGGTTATAGATGACTTAAATTTACACTACAAGATAATTCGCTATCGAGCCAATATTATTACACTGTCGACGTCAGAGGATGAACCTCGAAAAGTAGACAACAAAATTAGTTTCTCTTCAGTGAGAAATAATGACACCCGAAGCTGATAACAAACAAGAATGATGATTTCCATAGGTACGTCGGTGACATGAATAGCAGTGCAGTCGGTAAATGGCTTAAAACAACTAGTGGACTGTGCATGCTTATGAACACCGCTGAGCATTAGTATGCAAAAAGTAAACTCACTTCACACTGAAGATAAACTGACTGTTGACATTCTCCTTATTCTAAGCAACTTAGCAAGAGTAGTCTGTGATAGCCAACACTTTTTATACGATGCAGCTTAGTGTGTTTGGTTAGAACTTTCAACGTAATGAATAAAACATTTAACCAGTAAGGATACTGACTCCCTTATTTTTAAACTTAATACTAAACGATTAGGAAAGGAAAAGTTATTACCTGTTGACGTTTAACTTTTGCCATATAACGAGAATATGCATTAACAGAAAGGACGAAGGCTTTATCTTCTATACAATCCAGTGGATTAGTATCACGATGTCTGCTTGCATAAAGTTCGTTTTTCACGAAATGTTGTGCTGCACCATTTATATGTTCCGGACGATAGTACCAAAGCAGAGACATCATTTTCGTATCTACACAGAAAAAGTGACAATCAAACAACGAGGATTACAGATTCTTAGAATCGAAAAGGTTAGGAGAACATATTCTTTACAGCTATGATGGCAGAGACATAGGTATGTAGAGAAGGCTCATCAACCATAAATATGTAAGATCACAGCTACCAAATAATCTAATCTGATACTGAAAGTCATGAAAAATCTTCATAGACAGGTCGCCCTCATAACTACAGACGAATGGTACATATTTTTTATTTCAATGTTGATTTAAGAGCTAGCTCATAGTGTAAATGTCTGTCTCCAAAGCCTCAGGATGGTCGGGGGTGGGTGCCTTGCGCCACCCCTTCATGAACTCTCTACAACATCAACCAAATTCCAGTACTGGTCCAACAAAGTTGCCTTCGGTGGTTTGGCCATGTTCTGCGCCGACCAGATGACGATCTGGTCAAATCAGTTCTAAATCCCTCACCATTTCCATCTTGGCGATGTCGCAGGGTGGACAGCTGAAAACATGGCTTGGTACAGTCAAGGCTGATATGGAGTGCCTGGGGCTACAAACCGTCTACGGACTCCGTCTATGGAACAAGAACTGGATAACCCTGTCGCAAAACCTCGCATTAGATCGCCGCGCCTGGGCAGCGATGATTCGAGACGTTCATGAAGCCGGCTCATCCTCCCGTAGGAGATAGCCGAAGTAAAGTAAGTAAGTAAGTAAATGTCTGCAACGTTTGTTAACAAAATCAAAATGTCGTTTCGTTTATTCGTCTACTTAAACACAAACTCGGTGTGATACGGCTGTCAAGAGATGCGCCAACAGGATATAGCGGTAATAAAGATATGGAATAAGTACAGACTTGTTCAGGCTAAGCGTCACTTACAAAGAGAATTTTACAACTCACCCTTACCCAGTGTTACAGCTGAAGCTATTTGTCTTGATTCATAAGTGAACTGTTTTAGATCATCCATGCACATAACATTCAGTCTAGTATGCCATTAAGCAATAAATCTGTGTATTAGACTATAGGGTGCCTGCGCTCTATCTCCCGTGTGAAGTAGCATAATAAGGTGAGCAATATTGAGGTTAGGCGTCGAGTTCTAGGTAAGGAGGGGAAATCAATCGACAAGGCTGTGAAATTACATCGACTGAGATGGTTAGGACATGTGCTATGTACGCCTAGCCATCAGTCTCCTTCCTCGACCAGCAATGTTAGCTGACATAGGGTCAGGTTGGAAAAGAGCTAGCACATGGTGATCAAACTGAAACATGGCACCAGTCAATGAAATCCACAACATTTAGTCTAAGCCACGTAAGAAGATGTAGACTTCCTGGTTGGTGTCCTCGGGACGGTAAAACCAATGGTTGGAGACAATTGATGATGTGGCTCAAAATCGTTCTCAGTGGCTAACGCAGATGCATCCAGTCCTTGTGACTTATAATTTCCAATGAAACTACATTGTTCTTCGTTATTACTACTCATTTGTCTCACACCTCTGTTTACTGTCACTGTTTTGCATTTCTTCTACTTTCTACCCTTCCTTTGTGTGCTACATGGAGTGTAGCGACTTGAACTGCCGCACATCGGTGCAAAGTTCTATGTCGAAAACAGACAGACATTAGACTATAAGCCACATTCATTACACGAAAGTTATGTCATCTAAGTGGCTAGATTCCAACATTCTAGACCTGTAACCCACTGTCTTAAAATAGAATTTCTGAAGAACTGAATCATCATATTAATATCAAAAACTATATTTGTGTGATCACTAATAATAAAAATAATGCAACTTAATTACTTTACATGAATAGTTTTATGTACGAATTTGTGAACCACGCTTTATGTATGAAAGACCTAACACACACACCGAAGTCATTACAGATGATAAAAAGTACAACAAATGTAACTTTCCGATAATTTCGTTATTTACAGCTGAACTATTTTCCTCACCAGTGGTGAACCGCTTAAATAAGTGACACTTCTTCAAAACAAAAAAATGTTGTTTAGATAAAATATTTAGATAGATACACGTAAAAAAAATACATACCTGTATCTTTATCATAATACAGAGCAACAATTTTTGCAACATGCGGAGGATGACTTCGACTAGGACCGCTGCAAAGGAGTACATTATCTTTCACACGAATCACCATTCCATCTCTTCGATGCCGGATTGCAGGGTAACATTCATGAGGTATCGGAGGTGAATCAGACTGACAAAAAGAAAGTAGATAACACATCACTGCACACATCGAATTCAAAAAATAAGCAGAGACCTACAATATTCTAATTACTAATACTTGACACTAAATGCAACGGAGTGGAGATAATGAAATATCAAATACCGTGCTACAGTGTGTATGAGTAATGCATGATCCAATCACAGGTGATGCTGTTCACAGTAAAATACATGTATTGAAATAATCTTAGTCGTAATATCTCTAAATTATCTCCAAGTCATAAAAGCTCATGTCCAAAAGATGTTTGAATTCCGTTACATTCAAACATAACGAGAAGCAGGTTTTTAAATGAGAAACACACTAAACTCACACTGGTAATATCAATAAAATTCGCTGTTTAACCGACATGCAGGAAGATGTGCCATGTCTATTTAGGAATGAAAATAAAATACAAGCTGAGATCTAGACAACCCCTATCTGTGCTCATGGATTTCTAAAACGACTACCTAAGCATAGGGGATAAGATTTTATTTTGATATATCACACAGTATTGTACAGAAATATTTACTGATGACGTTTCGAGAATAAATTGACTGACTGGTTTCAACACAGAACTTTGCACCGATGTGCGGCAGTTCAAGTCGCTACACTCCATGTAGCACACAAAGGAAAGGAAGAAAGTAGAAGAAATGCAAAACAGTGACAGTAAACAGAGGTGTGAGACAAATGAGTAGTAATAACGAAGAACAATGTAGTTTCATTGGAAATTATAAGTCACAAGGACTGGATGCATCTGCGTTAGCCACTGAGAACGATTTTGAGCCACATCATCAATTGTCTCCAACCATTGGTTTTACCGTCCCGAGGACACCAACCAGGAAGTCTACATCTTCTTACGTGGCTTAGACTAAATGTTGTGGATTTCATTGACTGGTGCCATGTTTCAGTTTGATCACCATGTGCTAGCTCTTTTCCAACCTGACCCTATGTCAGCTAACATTGCTGGTCGAGGAAGGAGACTGATGGCTAGGCGTACATAGCACATGTCCTAACCATCTCAGTCGATGTAATTTCACAGCCTTGTCGATTGATTTCCCCTCCTTACCTAGCACTCGACCGATGCCTAACCAACTCAGTATTACTCACCTTGTCAACCACTTAACACGGGAGATGGAATGCAGACACATATGTTCAAAGGTAGCTAGTCTTTTTATGTCTTCCACTGTCAATGGCCAGGTCTCACAGACATAAAGAAGGATGGAGCAGACTTCTGAGCAGTACACATGCCCTTTGGTCGAGAGCCAGCCAGATATTACGTCCACGCCAGAGACGGCGTAAACTGGCATATGCCAAACGAGCCTTCTGTTTCCGTGCTGAGATTTCGTCAGCCATCAACTCGCTGACACCGGCTGATGCAGCTTCCTAAATAAGTGAAGGGGTCAACACACTCCACCAACCACTTCGCTCCGTATTTCTAAGCTAGGAGTCGATGTAGTCGTCAGTCGTGTAGCATCACCTTACATACAACGGGAGTGAATCACATGCCAAACATTCAAAGACTGCAGCTCAAGGTGCTCAGAAGACTCTGCACTTTGTCAGCCTCTTCACCTAGGAGGAAGGACTATATCATCTGCAAATTCTAAGTGAACAAGATTATTCACTGGTGACAATTCAATCCCTGATTCGCTGAAGTCAGTTAGGGTTAATTCCATTGGTACATCTATGATGAAATTGAATAGAAATGGGGATAGTGGGCATCCCTAACGGACACCACTAGTTGTCATCTGTTCAGATGACAACTCGCCGTAAGCTCTCACCTGGCTGGCTGCATGAGTTCGAGTGCGACGTATTTTCTGGACATTCCGTTCAAGCCAAGCATCGCCAGAGTACCTCTCGGTCGACAGAATCGAATTCCGCCTTAAGGTCAAGAAATATAACGATTGTTGAACGCCGGTAAGAATGCCTGTTTCAGAATCTGTCGAAGGATGAAAATATGATCAATACACCCTCTTCCTGGTCCGAATCCTATCTGGTTCTCGTGTGTTTGTGCCTCCCGTGAACCGCTTAGTCTACGCATGATTATTGACCCTAGAACTTCAGATACCATATTAGTCACGCTAATCTCGCTATGATTATCACAGGAAGACTTGTCTCCCTTCTTGTATATTGAGATAAACGATGACTTACACCAACCCAACGGGACTTCCTCTGATTCTCATAATCATATTAATTCATCTGATATGATTATGAGCAATAATTTGTGCTCGAAACGTCATCAGTAAATATTACTGTATAACACTGTGATTTATCAAAATAAAATCTTATCTACAATGGAGTTATACTCTACCGAACTGTCCAAGTCTTATACTACCTAGCATTTTCATCAATTATTTAAGTCTCCTAAGTATGTTAGCCATTTTTTAAAAGGCAATCATAATGAAGACACCAACTTCACTCTTAGGAACAGTCATTGAAATTATATGTTATGGAAATATCATAGGCTTTTTTGATTATAGGTTCCTCCGCAGTAATGAAACTACACAAAACTTAATGTAGAAATTAAACTTCAAGACAATGTGATTTGGCTGGTTTGCACATTATTGTTCGCATGTATATACTCTTTATCATCCTGAAATATCTTTCACATGGATATTTTATTCGTTATTGGCTCATGTCTTTAGTTCGCTGAATTTTCGCATTTTGAAGTTTGGCAACTTTTAATGCATCTCCATGCGAAATTATACAATGGTCTGTCTGTTCACCTAGAACAAGACTGAAAACAGCACTTTAATAATCAGCTTACTCATGTCAAGTGGCATCTACGAGCTAATTCCACATGAAAATGATTGAATCTTTTAGATACAGGTACAGAAGTTATCTAATTAAAATCAGTTACATACTAATAATTTGTCCTCACACCTTACATGTTTAACTTGACCTAATAAAATAACTAGTATGTCCAACCATAGGTGTAGGTTAGCGGAGTATGAGAAAATTGATGTCCAAGTAGTAACTGCGGAATTCTCCACGTATTCAAACGGCAACAAGACATCACGCAAATATACATTAGTTTTATATCCTACGATTTACTGAAGTGGAAAAATTATAAAAACAGAAATTATAATTTATAGAAATATGATTGTGTAATAAATACACATATGAGTGTAAAATGTGAGTCGTAAAAAACACCTAAATAAAAAATATGTAGTTTTCGTGCGCAAATGAAACTGATTTATGGGATGGTAGAAACACAAAAAATAGCTCACTTGGTGAAAAACAGGTTTGACAAACGGATCCCCTTCCCATATCCAAGCATCTTTTTGATTATCCAAGCAGGCAGTATTCTGATCCGGTTCTTTTGTGCAGCATAGATCCAGATCTCGTGTTTCTGCAGAACTAACTTTGTTTAATGGTACGTTCTCAACTTGTATTGGTAATATAGATGGATTGGAAGCTGGAACCAAGGTGATATCCTCTTCCTGACGGTTAATAACTGGTGCTTCACAAGAGACAACAGGACAATTGTTCACCACGTTAAAAGAATTACATACTGATGAATCATCTGTAAATGACTTGCCATCGTGTTCTGAAGCTGCCTGTTCCGAACCACGACATGCATTCTGTACAATCATGGGTCTATTTAACGCCACGTCGAACCCTCCATTTGATATCCAATTCGTACATGGATTAAGTGAGACTTGGAAATTTTGTGTTTGGTTGATCGGGATCATTTGTGCGGGTGCAATCATCATTGGATATGAAGCGTCACTATTGTTGTTAGCCGGGGTACTAGGCGGTTGGCAAGGTAACATACTAGGTTGAGTCCACGATGTTGGTAAGAAGACAGGAGATACAAATCCATAGGGAAACCCGGAACTCATGTAGGATGTTGGCATGCTAGGAACAGGCTGCAGAATGAGTGGATACGCAATCTGAGGTGCAACACTAGGATTAGAAACAACAAACGGCGAAGTAATATGTGGAAGAAGAATGTTAGGAGGCGAACAAGTGAAAAATGACGGCGTCATGTTTGGTGTTGTAATGCAAGGCGGTGCAGAACCCCAAGAATTCACATTCTGTTGCAACAAGGAAGGACACATTGGACTGTACAAAACTTGACCCGTTCGCTGGTGCAAAATTGTCTCATTAAAACTGCAGTCATTTGGTTTCGAGTATGGTAATGTGGGAAAAGAAACAACACTACCTGCTGGTACACGCGCTATTGGAGTATTGAAATCTTGTACTTTGGGTTGACATACAGTTTGAGATACTTCGTTTGTGGGTGGTACTACTACGACTTGATGGGTAATTTGCTGAACACCGTACGTGTCATGTCCTAATGGTATAATTCTTTGTGAATGAAAGCTTTCGATTGCTGGATTCATTTGACAGATACTTTTGAAGGACGACGGTGCAGTTTCTTTATTAAGAATAGGGTTTTGTGCCGGGATCACATTGTTTGGCTCGATACTTACTGAACTAGGCATTTCCAAGCAGTGAGCCAGATCATCGTCATCATCGGCTGAGCACATAGGCTCCGTGGTTGCATCATCCACTTCATCTGCATGAAGACAACTGAGCGCAGAATCTGGCTGTGAATGGAAGTTTGTTTCTTCGTTACTTTTCCGACATCTTTTGCGAGAGGATTTAGAATTAAAAGCACCCATAATGGCAGTCGCATTGAGACTTGCAAGTCTCTTGCCATGATCCTGGTCAGGGGATGCATAGTTTGGACCCAACTCTCTCTTGAGTGTACTGTCGATGTCGGGATTCTTCTTTCTACGTCCACGAGGTTTCTTTAATAGTTTAGCAGACTGGATTTTAGTGGAGGTTGACTGGACTGTCCGTTTCAAAACTGTTGAGTTTGTTCTCACTGATGCTTTTGAGGATGAATCTTTTCCATCTTCAAGACTCTCTACACCAACACTTTTTTTGCGTCGCTTAGTACCATTTGGCAGTCTTGCATCAGAATTACCAGCAGCGGAATTTTCACTTTGGTTCGTCGAGATGACTTTACTACTATGGTACGGGGATTCCCTGACATAAATGTCATAGAAAAGACGCCCATTTTGAGTGTATGTAACAAAGTTCGACGCTTTTCTGCGACCTACCAAATGACTTGACTTGTAAACTTCGGACGTCCTTCTTCGTTTTGTACGGTTTACACGCTTTGTTTTACTTCGCTTTCGAGTGTTTTCACGATGACGCCTGGCATTTTTTGCGTTTAAAGATTTTTTCGAAGTGGTTTTATTTTTTAAATCAGAATTATATTGAGAACCCCTTGTTTTCATAACAAAAATCTAAAACTACCGTCAGCTGAGAGTATATTCTAAACCCGCGCGCCAGCGATAGTGAGAGAGAGAGTTAAATGCTTTAACTAAACATATTTACACTGTTTACTCAATACTCACTCACTGTATGAGACTTTTGCATCGCAAAAAAGTGAGTAAGGAGTGGTTGGAGTGTCGTAATCATTCCACTTTAAAGGAGAATGTTTTACCTTAAAATGCCACGTTGTGATCCTCAACAAATGCAGCAATTTCAATACAAGGAAAGTAAATTTCATTGGAGGTTGGGTCTGGGAAATTTTATGTGAGACCGGGTATGGGAGTTTGGTTGCTGTTTGTATTTCAGAACGTTAATTTGTACCTTAAGTACCCACTTACTCTTCTCTGTTACTTAACTTTCACTTCTTGTGGGCTCTTTATATGCAGTCGGCTTTAGTGTTAATTAGTAGAATGTTAAGTGTAAACTCGTACTCAGTCGACCTAGTAAAAACATACCATATCAAAACACTTGAAGTAGTCCATGTATATACTTCGATCGATTCGTAGGCGAGATTTCTACCGACATAGCTTTTCCAAATATTTATTATCACGTTGTAATTGCGAGGATTTCCTATTCGTTCTGTATTCAGCCACATACAATTCAAATTTTTCACTCAAAACTATGTCATTATCTACATTTAGTTTCAGAGTGTGAAAATATACTACACTAAAATACATTTTCGATTTATAATAACTGGGTGAATCTGTTTTGTATTCCACATCCGGTATGTTACTTATAGACTACGGTTAACCACTGGCTTGTTAGCCTATCCCTCCACTCATCTGAAACAGCTGTGGTGGTGTACATTAGTTTAACTTAGTCGGAATTAAGATCGTGGAACCGATGTGATTCGAGTAGCATCATTCACCATTAAGTTATTCGGTATGGTTGAAGAGTATGAAATTGCAGCATCAAAAAATAGACAGAAACAAATAAATGAGTTAAAACAAAAGCAGGGTTGGAAGAGATGATGGGGTGGCAGGCTAATAGCTGGGATGAAAGTAGGTGAGACTGCTGAAGTGTGGGTGTTACTTCGTAGCCATTGTCAGGAGTGAGGTATGCGGTGGATACATCTAGGTTTGATTGGGACAAGAGTATGGTGGTTTCACTGTCTAATTTATTAATTCTTATGATTCCACTTTTTTCTGTGAGCCGGCATGTATCATTCAAGTGCGGCAAGCATTATCTTTCCTCATGATTCGGCCACCAAACTAAGGTCAGCTGGACCACCTCAATGCAGGAGTCAACCACTCAGGTAATCAAGACCTCAGTCTGTTAACTGCTTAAATAACCAGTGCCATCCCCTTTCCAATGAGGACTAGCGATTAACGTCCCGCCTGAAAATTCAATCTTAATAACTCTCAGGCAGTCATTTGCAGCCATACTACTCGTCACTTCATGCTTTAGATGACTGCATACTAACAATAATTCTTGTAGTAGGACGTTGTTTTGAGCAAACTTCCCTGGCTTTAGTGTTTTTAGATAATTAGTTCTTTCACAGTGATGCTTTCATCGCAAGTCACCTGTTTCTTTACTTTATGCTACCCAAATAATTAGTTGACAATAATTGTCAATAACAATAAATTTCATCATGGTGAATGACTGTCTACGCGAGTGGTCAAATTTAATATATCACAACATTTACTTTAAATATCATTTATTTTCAGTCGTAAGGTAACTTCTCAGGCGCACTTTATAACTGTTTTGCTGGAAATTTAACTTTTGATGGTCAAAGTAAAATAAAAAACTCATTACCATTGGATTGGAGTACTCACTTTGTTTCAGTGAAGCACTGCTGATATCTAAGTTCACTAAGCTATTAATTTGTCATGTTTGAAAATATGGAGTACGTTCTATCAACGATAATTAGACGAAACTGTAGGTCATCCGCCTACTTTAGGCGAGCCTGTAAACCAAACTTTTGCTTATATATCGATGGAAAACACACAAATAAAGGAAATATGAAGCTGATTTTATAATTAATGATTTCAGTATTTGTCGTGGAAGCTGGTCATGGAGAATAAGCAGGGGTAGATTTCTGCATTACTTTGCAAATGCACGCTCACAATTTTAAGTGTATATGTTGGCTAGTCTTGCAATTTCAGCAGTCTGAAAATAAATTGATGACAGATTCCATTCGCTCCATTTCGATATGTACAATTGGAAATAAGAAATGCAAGCGTTTCACATAAGTATAACATACAAGATACGTCCTTCTAGGATTACTGTGCGTATAATTTGTGTATAGAGCCCGGTGATGCACATTCTGTCAGAAAGATGAGTTTTATTCCCTCTTTCGTTTCCCGAGTAGGAAATAGAACTTCAGGCTTGGAGCCTTACGGTGGCAGTGGTATTGTGTTGATGGGACAAGGTTACTAGCCTCATGCGCAACCTTCTTTATTCTCTCGGTTTACCACCGACAGGTAACCTGGACACGAGGTTCGCGAATATACCGAATGAGAGCCGAACCTTGACCTACTGAGTGGCTGGGAAGCACTTTAACACCATCACAGCTGAGTGCGGATTCGGTAAAAATTACAATAAATTGGGTGACTGGACCATTGGGCTGTTTGAAAAAAGGGTATTTCTCTGTTACTTACTGATTTTAATGTTACCTAGTGCTCGAATACGTGGTCTTCGTGCAGATAGAAGCAAGTCATACTTGTAACTTGCTAACAAATTTAGTAATCAGCAGTTGCCGACCTTACTTCAGGTGTGACGTCAGAAACTGAGGTATTTGTATGTGCCACTATGAGGGTGGTTACGTGCTTTTCCGTGCTCACATCAGCCACGACACATGAAACATTGTAGGGGATCAAAGAAGTTATTCAGATCAATCAAACTTTCAATGAATAATTTTTTATCTCTGCGAATTGAAGAACAAGTCAGATTACTGAATTTTCGAAGGACAAGAGCTCGGCAGCTTCGTTGTTGTATGACGGTGTATCTTTGCACCATCTTCAAATTACTGTGATTAAATACACCTCTCAGCAGCCGTAGGTATTATATTCTCCCTCCGCATGTTGGAGCGGTGTTAGGGATAGCACAATTTCCAGGTTAGGTGGGCCAGGCGTAGGAGTAAGCTAGCGTGGCCGGATATCAGTTCTAGAAGCATAGATGCCTAGATATCAATCCTGAGTGCTATACATATTCGAATCCAACCGGAAGCGATCTCGGGTTCGTTCAGACAGCCTAACTAACTGGTTTACTACGATGTTCCCCACAACTAGTAACGGTGACAGGTACTTCCAGATAAAGCCATCGCACATCGTTTCATAGAAATGTCCTAAAAGCCATGTGCCGCTTATTTCTAAGCGACATAAAGGCGACTTTCAGAGAGAAAATGGTGTAACTGATGGTGCGTTTCGGAATGCAAGACAAATTGTCATTGCTTTGGTAGTGAAAATTAGTTCCATTGCAGCCAGGTAATACTGATAACTGGTTATTGTTATGAAGGATACACTTCAAGCGGGACGCTGCATATAACTGTTCAACAAGAATTAATATTTCGGTTATAAGGGAGATATGTTTCGAACCTGGGTTTTTAAAACCTAATATAATACATAGATACTGTGAATTAATCGCCACTTTCAGTGAACTCTCATGTGGTTAGATCTATTTACAACGATTCATGCAATTTCCATAAGACTTTTCAGCAAGACTTTGGATGATGTAAAACCATTCTTTTTCGGACAGGAGTAAAAGCATCATTTTTTAGAAATAAACCCGAGGAACAGTTTGCAAAAGTGCCCTGTATAGTTACTTTTTCTAATAGTAATATATTCTCATTTTTGTACATGAGGGACGCCGGTTCATGGCCATCATCAATTCGATAAATTACAAATATGATTAGTAAGCTTAGGTAGTAATGACGATATAATAAGCATCCTTGTCCTATACTCTTTAGGTTCGACAGCTACATAACAGCTGAACGATTTAAGATGGCTGAAGATCTTCTGGCTACTGCCACTAAATTCAAGACTATTAAAGTAGTCTCGGATGAAACACCAAACCAAAGGCAAGCAACCAAGAACTCCTTCGATACAAAGTTGACAACATTGAGAAATACATCTGGTATCAGCGATAAAGTGTCGACGGACACTGAAGCACAGCAAGTCACGTGTATAGTGTTAGGAGAAAAAACGGCAAGTAAGAGCTACCCAAAACTCAGTAAGAGCAGTGCCACTGGGTGCAGTCTTAGAGTGCACGAGAGCACATCTCGAAAACGTGCTGACATACATGAGGTTGACATAGACGCACAAACTATGGCTGACCAGAAACTACTGGCAGACCACTCTCAATCTGGATCCAAGCCAGAGAGTCCCTCAGTAGAAACCGAAAAAAAGACCACAAAACCCAGAGTCCCACCCCAGACTTCGACATACCTCCCTCGTAATAAGTCTAATAAGCAGCGTGTCAGTCTAAGAAATGACAAAGCATGGGTAACGAAGCACATTCCCAAAGACGTCACGCAGCATGTGAGAAGGAATACCCCTTCCCGAACTAGAAGTAACATGCCTAACAACGCACATAACTTGGGAATGCAACGTAGAATGGATCCTCAGGATATATGGAGCACTAAACGGGACTCATATAGGCACGATATTAACGAAAATTCTCGTCCAAACTCTCGCACTATCTATGATAAACCTCATCAACTTAATGAGAACAGGTCGACACTTGATCCCCTCAATAACTTCACTCACACACGTGACGTGAGACAATATGCATACGGCTATGAAAGCCCCATGAGGTACAGCTACCAGGGTAATCTTAACACAGGGTACCTAGGTCCAGCAAACTACAACCCAAATTGCAGGGCAGACCATATATCACCAGTAGATGAACACAGATGCCGACCCATGGATGCTAATAGTCAAAATATGCAACAGGATTATTTTCGGCTGCAGCAAACAATAGCCCCTATCGCTGCACAGTTCATCCAGGAAATAGTACACACACT